TAAGCTGGTTATAACCTGAGGTGAGGGATATGGAACTTAACATGAGCAGTAGCTGGTTCCACAGGGCTGACTGGCTGCATCTCTTCCCAGCTCAATGTTCAATGACATCACATGGTGGCCAAAGCTAGGAGTATTTAGTCACTGAAATCGGCAAAAACTATAAGTGAGTTTTAAATTTAATTTTTTTATTAATTTGGTGTGTGTGTGTGTGTGTGTGTGAAGAGAGAGCTGTTTGTTAGTACACTCACGGTGAGAGATAGCCCACTGACCATAATGGAAGCAGAAAGAATAATGAAATTACTGCAGGGAGGGGAGGCAAGATGGTAACCAAAGTGAGGGTGGGAGTGAGTGGGGAGAGTATCATTTGAGAAGTGTTTAAGAGATAAAAATCAATAGCTTGTGATAAAATTTGAATCATTACATTTTATAAGAGGCATAACTGAGGCTTAGATAGATTAATTTGCCTATAACTACATAAGCAAGCAGCAGGGTAGAAATTCAAACCTTTATCTGCCTGATTTCAAACCAGGTGATTTTTTTTTCTAACTGCATCTTGATCAATAGAAAGCTCTGCTTTCTATTTATTTGGATCACTGACAGGGATTAAGCACTCAGAATGGTTAATTATTCAATTAAAAAGATGAAGTTTAAGTGTTCAGGGATATTTTTCTGCTTAGCTGCAGGGATATAGGTTCTAAATTTAAATCTACCAACTTGTAAGTTTTGAAGTCAATATGATCTAAAGGTTTAGTACTCTGCCCTCAAAGAAATGAGAGCCTAATGCAGATAACAAATTCTCTTTAGGTGAAGGATTCTACTGATATCCTGATGAACACTGTAGGAAGAAATGTATGAACAATTTCAGCAGGTCCACACACTCTGTCCCTAATGCTTATCACTGACTTTCAGATTCCCAAATATTATTATACTATGATCACCAATAATAAAAAATAGTTCAAGAAGGATTTGAGGTTTGAGAAGATGGTTGAAAGGAGCCAGGCACTGATTCCTGACCCCTCATAACACAGACAGCAGGCTGTGAAGGAAAAGCAGAACTGAGAGGTGGGTGACAAAATAAATGCTCTGATCCTCAATATTACAAAGTCTGAGACCTAGACAGACTTAAATATTGGTTACCAGAGTGGAAAATAAATGCAGAGTGTTCTAACCCTGAGCTCAGATCAGGTGGGTCAAGGGGGAGGGGCAACAGAGCTCTCAAGCTCACCCACTTAAAACTATTTGAAGAGGGAGATAAAATTTAAAGCATGATGGGAACAGAAGTGTCCTTGAGGCAGATCAAACAGTTTAAAACCAAACTGTGAATAGAAGGGTCTTTCAGGGCCCACAGCCATTTTGTGGAAGCCTCAACTAACTAGTCAGTCACCCCCTTAAATCAAAATGGCATCTTCCCATGTTCAAATAGCTGCAAATTAAACCAGAGGGAAGTCCCCTCCAGTGGTATCTCTTAGTAATCTGGCTAGAAGGAACTTCTAAAGGGACCACTAATAGCCCCAAATCCCTGAAACCCATTCCCCTTCACCCTAAACATGATCAAGGAGATTGGGGTGGAGCAGACCTATCCAGGGAAGAGTTTCTAACCCAGCTCTCTGCTCAGCCTCCCTGCAGAGGAGGGAGAGGGGCAAGGGAGCTTTGGCCCTGAGCAGAGGAAAACAGATCCATCAGAAATACTCCAGCCCCAACCACTGACATTGGGGTGAGGCACCATGGAAGATTGTGTGTTTGAAGAAGCCTAGGGGGACTGTCCCCTTGTTTGTAGGACCTTATCTGAGAGAAGCTATCTGAACATACAGTGACATAGAGGTCTGGTTCCTGGATGGTGGCTGCAGCCAGCAGAAGGCTGCTAGGCGAAGTTGCCTGAGTACACCAGGAAGCCTAAGGGGAGGGCATCCAGATCCCTACCTCAGCCAGAGGGAAGTCAATTAAGGTGGAAAGTTGCTTGATCCAAGGCAGCAGATAGTGACTGCTCCCAGCCTGGCCTGGCTACCAGTCTTTCCCGTGGTCCCAACTGGTGAGTGAAAGGGCGTTGTTTGGACACTAACTAGAGCCTGCATTAATCATAGTAACACCTGGGGCAATGGAAACTAGAACCCAGGTGAACTATTTGAATCCCTTTACTATAGTACCCCAGTGATAGGTTAGAGAGGATGCTTCTGCACCACAGAACACCAGCAGAAACTCCACAACCACAGGACCTGAGTTTATACACAGTCAACAGTCCCTACACCACCATGAAAAGAATCCTATAGAGGGGAACAGGTACAGAGTGACCCACAGCAATCATAGGGACACTCCAGAGCTCTGCAACCTGAACTCCTGTGCACAATAGAAAACAAATGGGATTCAAGACTGTACCTTATAAGCAGTCAGCCGCAGGCCCCTGAACTGAAAAACCAGAACTTTCTCTTTTAGGGTGTGTGGGGGGGTCATAGCAACTAGGGAAGTGGTTCCTGTGCCCCAGCAACTATGGAGAGGGCCACACTCAAAATATGATGGACATTTGCTAAAAGTCCCAAATCTGAATGAAATCCAAACCCAGATTCAACAAGAATTTTCTTTCTTTTTTAATTTTTTATTGTCCTTATTCTAATTAGTTATATATGACAGCAGAATGAAATTCAATTATATTACACAAACAGAGCACAATTTTTCATGTCTCTTGTTGAACACAAAGTAGAGTCACACCATTCATGTTTTCATACATGTACTAAGGGTAATGATATCTGTCTCCTTCCATCGTCTTTCCTATCCCCATACCCCTACTTTCCCTCCCTCCCCTTTGCCCTATCTAAAGTTCCTCTATTCCTTCCATGATTCCCTCCTCCATACTCATTAGGAATCAGCATCTTTATATCAGAGAACACATTTGGCATTTGGTTTTTTGGGATTGGCTTACTTCAGTTAGCATTATATTCTCCAATTCCATCCATTTACTTGCAAATGCCATAATTTTATTCTCTTTTAATGCTGATTAATATTCCATTGTGTATATATGCCACATTTTCTTTATCCATTCATCTACTGAAGGGTATCTCGGTTGGATCCACAATTTAGCTATTGTGAATTGTGCTGCTATAAATATTGATGAGGCTGTGTCCCTGTAGTACGCTGTTTTTAAGTCCTTTGGGTATAAACTGGATCAAATGGCTATTCCATTCCCAGTTTTCCAAGGAATCTCCATACTGCTTTCTGTTTTGGTTGTGCCAATTTGCAGTCCCACCAGCAATGTAATAGTTTGCCCTTTTTCCCACATCCTTGCCAACACTTATTGTTGTTTGTATTCTTAATAGCTGCCATTCTGACTGGAGTGAGATGAAATCTTAGATTAGTTTTGATTTGCATTCTTTAATTACTAGAGATGGTGAACATTTTTTCATATATTTGTTGACTGATTGTATATTATTTTCTGAGGAATATCTGTTCAGTTCCTTGGCCCATTTATTGATTAGATTATTTGTTTTTTGGTGTTAAGATTTTTGAGTTCTTTATATATTGTAGAGATTAGTGCTCTGATGTGTGTGTGATAAAATTTTGCTCCCAAAATGAAGGCTCTCTATTCACCTCACTGATAATTTCTTTTGCTGAGAAAAAGATTTTTAGTATGAATCTATCCCATTAATTGATAACAAGAATGTTCTTTACCTTGGCATGGTTTACTATAGACAACTCTAATGTCAACTTGGATCATATGTGTCACTCTTTAACATCATTGATAATTGCTTCCATAAAAACCAATGCTATACTTTCAACACATCTGAATGTATTTCTTCTAATGGTTTAAAGCATTAATTAGAATCGCTCTATCTTTGTTTTTCTAGATCAGTTTTTACTTGCTCCTCTTAACTCCTGTTTGCACTCTTACTTTATTTGCTGCTGCCTTAAATACCCACCATCCATCTTTTTTCCTTTCTACTTTGGTGTGTATTATTCTTTTCTACTTTTCTCTTTCCTTCCTTCCTCCCTCCTTCTTTCTTTCTTTCTTTCTTTCTTTCTCTCTCTCTCTTTCTTTTCTCTTTTTTTGCCCAACCTTTCTTCTTCCTTTTAGCTCTCATTTGATGTTATAGCAATTTTACTGAATTTAATAATTTTTGACCTATTCCAGAACTTTATTACTAGTTTGTACCTGAATTTAAGGTACTGCGGAGGACAATATCAGCAAGTTTTTTGTTTTTCATAAGGTTTAATAGTATGAAGCTTGGCTCTCAAAGTGGTGCTGATATTAGTATCATCAGAGATCACACATTGAGTTAAAGTATCAATATTTTGATAAACCCCCAACCCAGGCTCTTAAGAGAAAGAAGCTCACAAAGTTGTACTGTGCTTAAAAGAAGTGGTAATGATCCCAATAGATGAATAGGCATATAAACAATATGAAAAAGCAGAGAAAAATCACCACAAACAGGTCATAATGCTTCAACAACTGATTTCATTGACAATGCAGTGGAGAAAATGTCAGAGAAGGAATTTAGGAAGTTCATAGTTAAAATGTTCAATGAACTAAAAGAAAAAGGAAGGAGTGAAAATACAGGAAGCAAAAGATCACTTCAATGAAGAGAGATTTTTTTTTTTTAAGATCAAGTATAACTTTTTATTATATTCTCTGAATTGTCATAAGGGGTACTTTGAAATCTGTATGCAGGCAAGGCCCCTGTCTAACTGCCTTCTGCTACTTAGATTAAGTCAAATATTTTGTTTTCTCTTTCAGTTTTCTCCAACATACCCTCCACAGCTTTGTCCAGCCAGCTGGCTATTTCTGTGACACTTTAGTTTCCTCTTCACTGGGTGCTTGTTGCTTTCCTCCTTGCAAAAGCCTCGTCAACCAGTCTTTCTCATCTTTCTTTACTTGGTTTCTTATCTATTTGGTTGAAAAATATTAGCACTTTTTTAAAGTCAGGTCTTTAATTCATTGGAATTTTCAATTGGTATCTTTAAACTTTGTTGTATTCTTCATATTTTCTCTGCAACAACATTCTTCAAAGTTATTTGGAAATATTATCCTCCAAAGGACAATGGTTTCTAAAAGATTTCTGTCTCAAACATTGTACTACACAAGACTGATACAGAAATGCATAATTCAGTAAAGGACATTTGTACTGCATTGTCAATTCCCACTATTACATACACTGGATTCTGCCAAGATGACTGTTAAAAGACTTATTTGTTATGGGATGTAACTTTATATACATAAAGGTTAGATAAAAAGTAAGATTTTTGGTCCTCTGGTACTAAATTAAATGTAATTTACATGACACATGAAGTCTAAAACTTACAAAACTAAATGATAAAGTCAAGACAGTTAACCATCATTGATATGTCTATCATCATCATCACAAACTATACACTTAAAAATCAAACTATTTATGAGTCTGTAAGTCAGATGCTGTCTAGCAAACTTCCATCTGTGACTCATTTCCTTTTACATTTTTAACTCAAATACAAATATGTAAGATTAAGTAAATTTTAATTTTCCAAAAATTCTCCAGAAAGAATTATCAGAATCATCCAGGTAAAAAACACAGTTGGATAATCCATTTTCACAAATGAACTCTGTACTTGTGTTGTGAGGTAGCAATCAACAACTCTAAGACCTTCTGTGGTGGCAGTTCCCACTACTCACAAGCATTCCTTCTGCACATGAAGATCATGAACAAAGAAGGGACCAGAAGAGTCCACTTTTCATTGTTTCACTGACTTCTCGTGTTTTCGTAGTATGCTAAATGCCTGATTTCAAATTTACAACAACAAAAAATACCAATAGTTATTCTGAAAAGTAATTGTATGTTCCAAGTAGCAGATATTAACAAGTTCCAACAGGATCTCTAGGAATAATTCGAAGTTCTGAACCGTGCTTTAGAAAAACATTTCCAGCAGTTTGTGCAGGATTTATTCGTATTCCATCATTAATAATAATTGCACTTGTTGCTGCAGGAACTTTAAATTCTTCTGCTGCAAATTTTAAGACTGCTGTAAAAGGTGTTCTCTCAGGAACACTAAGTACTTTATATGGCAACTGTGGGTCCGACGCCAGCGTAATCTTAAAGGAAACCTTCAACATGATGGAATAGGTCTGGGCGGACACCCCACGCCAATTTGGTGGAGTAGCTCCAAGCCCTCACCAGTGAGGAAGCGTCTGGGCCCCTCCCTGAAGAGAGATTCTTAAGAACTTAATAGAACTCCTAGAAATGAAAGAATTAATAACCCAGATTAAAAATTCAATGGAATGTATCACTAATAGATTATACCACTTTGATTAAATGAGATAACATCAAATTGAAAAGTTTTTTGCACAGCAAAGGAAAAAAAGAGCATAAAGAGAGCTATAGAATGAGAGATCTTTGCTACTTGTTCCTCAGATAGGCATTAATATCCAGAATATACAAATTACTCAAAAAACTTAACGCCAAAAAAAAAAAAAAACCCTCTAAATAACCCAATCAATAAATGGGCAAAGGAACTAAACAGACACTTCTCAAAAGAAGAAATACAAATGGTCAACAATTACACGAAAAAAATATTCAACATCTCTAGCAATTAGGGAAGAGCAAATTAAAAGTACATTGAGATTTCATCTCATTCCAGTCAGAACGGCAATTATTAAGAATACAAATAAACATAAATGTTGTTGAGAATGTGGGGGAAAGTGTACACTCATACATTGTTGGTGGGACTGCATCGTGAAACCGCTTTCACTCTGTGAAAGCACTCTGAAAAACAGTATGGAGATTCCTTAAACAAGTAGGAATGGAATTACTATATGACCTAGTTATCCACTCCTCTCTATATATCCAAAAGATCTAAAATCAGTGTACTACAGTGATGCAATCATATCAATGTTTATAACAGCACAATTCACAATAGTCAAGTTATGAAGCCAACATAGGTGTCCTTCAAGAGATGAATAAAGAAAAAAATGTCTTATATACTAATTGGAATAAGTTATATCCCAGGTATGTATAATATGTGAAAATACACTCTACTGTTATGTATATCTAAAAAGAACAAATACAAAATAAATTAATTAATTTAATAAGAAAATGTGGTGTATATATACAATAGTGTATTTACTCAGCCATAAAGAAGAATGAAATTATGGCATTTGCCAGTGAATGGATGGAACTGGAGATTACTCATTCACTATGCTAAGGTGAAAAAGCTAGTCCCCAACAGTCAAAGATTGAATGTTTTCTCTGATTGTGGAAGATAATAAAAAGTGGGGGATGGGGGGCAGGGAGAAAAAAAGAGATAGAGAAAGAAAGGGGAAAAAAGGGAAGAGGGAATTCCATCAAAATGGAGGAATGCTCAGTAAACTAAGAGGATTAAAAGGGTGGAAGGAAGGACAGGATAGGGGAAGAACAGGGGACTGAATCTGACTGAACTTTCGTATGTACATACATTATCATGGCACAGTGAATCTCAACATCAAGTATATCCACAAGACACTAATTATAAAATTTTAAATAAATTGCCGAAAGGCCATTACTGTAGAAGAAGGAGAGCAGGGGGAGGGAGGAGTTAAGGAGGAAGTAAGTGCTGGGGACTGAATTAGAGCAAATTATATTCCATGCTTTTGTGATTGTGTCAAAATGTACACTATTGTTATATAAAACTAAAAAGAATCAATAAAAAATTAAATTGCTTCAGTTTAAAGAATAGTTTTGTTTACAAATCAACAAATAAAAAACCTCATTAAAATCACTAAATAACTAGTATGACTAAATGTCTAAAAATTTTAAAAAGTTAAATGATTCAGCATAGTACAGTATGATGCTATAAGGTAAAAATGTTAATTTTCTCTGCTGGTTATAAAACACTGAAAATAGGGGCTGGGATTGTGGCTCAGATGAAGACAGCTTGCCTAGCACGTGTGCAGCACTGGGTTCGATCCTCAGCATGCCATAAAAGTAAATAATAAAATAAAGGTTTTGTGTCCAACTATAACTAAAAAATATTTTTAAAAAAACTTTTAGAGATCCCCTGATTATTAATATAATTTTTTTCTTTTTATTTATGTTTAGAGAAATACTCTGGTGATCAGAAGATGACTGGTTATTGTTTGAGCTTTTAATACTAAATTATGACAATTCATATCACAAATGGCAAATAGATTTTGATTAATGTTTGAAACTCTCTGGCACTTTCTGAAGTTTTATGAGAACACTTCTAGGCTCAGAAGGAAGGCTTGCCTTAACTGATTATTGATGCCTGTATTGAATATAGAATAGAAAAGAATAGGCGTAGATCCCATATATTTAATATCTGTGTTATAAAATCTAAACTTTAGTACTCCTGGAGACAGGAAATTGCAGTGGGAAGTATTTAATAATATAATTAACCAGAAAAAATAGTTTCAATTTATGCAGCTGAAAATTCTTCTCTAAGTTTTAACACTATAATCCTACTTTAAATGCTATAATCCTGCCTTGGTAATTTCTGAGGGTAAGAATCTTATTTTTGTGACTCAAGGATTCTGGCACACCTCAGAATCATAATTTTTAGTATCAGTTTTTTACAAGAGAGACTCATAATCTGAATGAACTCACTAGAAATGTTCTCTTTGCCATTCATTGGTGCTCTTACTGAATTCCTGATCCTCAATTTTACTTAAAAATTCCTCATTAGGAATAAAGAAAATTTTACTAATTTTTTTACCATTGTTTTATTTAATAATGACTTCAGGTCATATTTTAGTTCATAAGTCATCAATATTTACAGGAGCACAAGGTGTTTATTGGCACAATTCTAACACAGAGGCATTCTCCATAAAGTTAATTGAATAATTTCAGGGGAAAAAACACTTGGTAGCAATAAGAACTTTCAGGGCAAATTAAGACTTAAATCTTTTTTTTTAAGATAAAGAGAGAGAGGTGAGAGAGAGAGAGAGAGAGAGAGAGAGAGAGAGAGAGAGAGAGAGAGAGAGAATTTTAATATTTATTTTTTAGTTTTCGGCAGACACAACATCTTTGTTTGTATGTGGTGCTGAGGATGGAACCTGGGCCGCGCGCATGCCAGGTGAGCGCGCTACCGCTTGAGCCACATCCCCAGCCCAAGACTTAAATCTTTAAAATCATTTATGTAGAATTCAAACAGCTTTTGTACGTTACAAGAAAAATAAATATCCAAGATCTGGTGTTACTAGAATTAATTTTGTGCCAAGAAAATGAAATCAAATTCTAGGTCTAAATGATTACTATGTTTCCAGTATTTATCCCAGTGCAGCTGTCTCAAACATCAAAAAGGACAAAATTCTAAATTTTCAGACAAACAGAATTGGGTGTGAATTACTTTTACTGATGCTTTATTTTCTTGACTCCCAAGAGACTAAGAGTAACTCCAATGTGAGAAACATTGGAAAATTGAATATTATAGGTTGATGCTGATAGGTGCCCTCCATCTATAATATGGAAATCTTAATCTGGAGGAAGATGATGTCATTAAAGTGTTATTAGCATCCCTAGAATATGATACTGCAAGCCAATGCTACAGTTTAAATATGAAATGTTCCCCAAAGACTTACATGTTGAAAACTTGGTTCTCAATGTAGCCATGTTCAGAGGCGAAGTTTTTATGAAGTGATTGGATCATTAGGGCTCCAACCTCATTAGTGGATTAACCTATTGATAGCTGAATGAACTACCAGGAGGTGGTGAAAACTGTATGCAGGTGGGGTATGTTTGGAGGAAGTAGGTCACTAGGGTGTTACCTCTGTGACTATATCTTATACCTGGTCTCTTCTTTCCTTCTCTCCACCCTGTCCACATGCTTCCTACCTACCAGGAGCTGAGAAGCTTTCTGTCACCACACCCTTTTGCCATGATGTTCTGCCTTACCTTAGACTCAGAGCATTGGTATTGACTGAAACTACGATCCAGAATAAATCTTTCCCCCTCTAAGTTGTTTTTCTTAAATATTTGTCACAGTGATGAAAACAAACAAATAAGCAAAAAAAAAAAAAAAAAAAAAAACCCAAACAAAAACCCCCCCAAACTAACACAGCAGTAAGGAAAAAGATGTATGAAATGCTTTGTAATTTTTCTTATATCTCTTTCTCTCTGTTTTGAGAAATGAAACCTGGTAGCAGTTTTGTAATATGTCTATTAAGAGAACAGATGAACTCTTCCTCTCAGTTCCCCCCACACTGTGAAAGTTCAGTGTAATGAGATTATTGTTAATAACTGAGGTTACAAAACTGGAACACAGTGGAGTGACATGAACAGCTCATATTGGCATGAGACAACAGTGCATATCTCTTTTCAGCTGCATTCAATAGTATAATGTCGGTAGCTTGAAATTGTCCATGATGGGAGAATGTATACCACAGAAAGAGGCAAATACTGCAAATCATTATCTACTCTGTTTCTTGCCCATTCCACTGGAGAAAAAGTAAATCTTTAATATGACTCTATATTAGTAAATATATTACAGGAGTTTCCAATCAGAGTGTTGAGTTCTTTTGGATTGCCCAAGTAACCATCAGCATTAGAGGGAAATATACTACATTTACATGAACTCCAAATAGATGCTTAATTAATCAATCTAAGGATTCTTAGAAGTCAAGAGCAAACTTTAATCAAGAAGAAACCCTTTTATAGATGTAATCAGGGCAAATGAAATCATTTAATTTAACTTAAAGAATTATAGACATGTAAATTTCAGATACCAAATACCAGAAATAGCAGTATTTGTATTTATTTTGTATTTTAACATATTTATTAACAATCAATTTTACCTGTACTAATGTTCATCATTGCTGAGTTTGATCTCTTTACACAACAAACAAACATTCAAAAAATATTTAATAGACTTCATATTCTAATAAGATCAGGCATTCTATCTTTTAGTGATTGAATTTATAAAATCACTGCATTCTATCTTTTAGTGATTGAATTTATAAAATCACTGTAAGATGTCTGTCTTATTTATAAAAGTGCATAAAAAAGTTCCTCTGTTACAAGGCTTGAAAATGAACAAATGTATATTATGTTCCTCTAGTAATGTGTGTTGATGGATTCATTACATTATCTTTATACTGATGCACACTAAAGCATGGTGGGTCAT